AATTCCCCAATTCCACCTAATTCCCCAATTCCTAATTCCCCAATTCCTAATTCCCCAATTCCACAAATCCCCAAATTATCAAATTCCAAAATTTCTAATTCCCCAACTCCTAATTCCCTAATTCCTAATCCACCAATTCCCAATTCCCCAATTCCACAAATCCCCAAATTCCTAATTCCCCAGCTCTTAATCCTCCAATTCCTAATTCCCCAATTCCCAATCCCACAAATCCCCAAATTACCAAACTCCCAAATTCCTAATTCCTCAACTCCTAATTTCCCAATTTCTAATCCCCCAATTTCTAATTCCCCAATTCCACAAATCCCCAAATTACCAAACTCCCAAATTCCTAATTCCCCAATTCCTAATTCCGCAATTCCCCAAAACCCCAAATCTCAAAATTTCACAAATCCCCAAATTGTCCAATCCATCAATGACCCCATCTCTTAATTCCTAAATTCCCAAACTATAAAATTCCTCAATTCTTCATCCCCCAATCCCAAAATCCCCAGTACTCGACTTCCGTAAAATTATCTGGTCCTCGAAAGCTTTCAACGAATGATCAGCGAATTCTACGAACATCAAGCTAGATTATAAAACTAGATCCCGGCACAAAGAGCCGAGGCACAGGAACACCGAGTTAAATTTCGTTCCGCGAAGGTAAGCAGAGTTTACCGTACGATCTCGAGAAGGGATTAACGTCGGAAGTTCGTGGAAGTAATGGCGGAAAAATTTCGTGAACGTATTCCACGAAAGGAGCACCCCGTTGAATTTGCGAGCGATTTCTCTGACGCGAATCAAGTCGATCGCGAAAGAGTCCCGTTCCAATCGACAAACTAAACAGCCAAAGTTCGTCTGATTGTCGATCCAACCGGGGAATACTTATGCAGTTCGATCGATTTTAAAACGAACGCTCGACGAACTTTCCGTCGAGTCAATGGACCCTTCGCCACTTGTTGAATGTTTATAAAGAGGAATCTAAGTCCAAAGAGAACGCCCCTTTTTCCTTGCGTCTCCAACTTACTTATATCAGCCGAATTTATTCTACGAAATTCACCTCTTCGGATATATGGGCATACGCTCTCGAGTGCTGGTCATATATTCCAATGTCATGGTACCTCCATAAATTATGAATATCGTTCGAAACAAAAATGTTAATAAATTTTCTGTATGTTATTTGTATTGTTCATTCTTAGCATTATCTATATAATAGCAAGTATTATTATACACTATTATTATCTTGATATACTGGTGATGTTTCAGTTTGCGATAAGGTTAGAAAATATTTTTTTTAAAAATGTTTCTTTGCACTGTGTTATAAATGTATGTATTTTGTCAAAGAGGAAAATGAACAACAAATATTATAAATAATGAACTAACTAGAGTAGAATAACGTTGGTCAATTGCCAAAATTCACATCTTCAAATATATGTATGACAATACAGTCTATACGATGTATGAGACATACCTAGCGGTCATATACCTAGCAGTCATATATCATATACGCAATCACATATTAGATTGCTTTTGGACTACTTTATGAACAGAAGCCAATGATTACCATTTCAATCAATGTATGACATTGAATTACAATTAAATTGCCTATGTATTATTCCACATCAAATCCATCACTTTTTAACGTCGCCATTTTGTTTTAACTGAAATATGTTGTAATCCACATGAAATTAGGGGGGGTTTAAGTCACCATTAGACTGGTTTTGAATTTGGTAAAAAACGACAGGTCTTCAAAGTTTGCAATTTTTACTCATTTTGACAAAAATAAGCTTCACTCATGAATTTTTATATCGGGAACTGCTTGTTCGATTTACCTACATTTTTCTTTGTTTTATTCTTAAGGGATTGCACTATTTTATTATAATTTTTCTGACTTCGACAATCAGAGTGATAATATTGAGAAATTTAAATGAACTCTGCACTTTTACAATGAGGGCAGGTGATTTTTGGAAAAATAAGCTTCACTTATGAATTTTTATCTCGGAAACTTCTTGTTCAATTTAACTAAATTTTTCTTTGTTTTGTTCATAAAAGATTGGTCTATTAAATAATAATTTTTCTGACCTCGACAATCAGTTTAATAACACCCAGAAATTTAAATGAACTCTACACTTTTCCAATGAGCGTCATGATTTAAATTTTGAAAAAGTCATCAAATAATAACGGAATTAACAACGGAATCACCCAGCGAAAATGGCGAAACAGAGATACACACCTTTATCCTTCATCTTCGATTTCGATTTTTGCATGCGAAAAAACGAAGCGAGTAATCTGAAAACGGGAAACTGGACGCTCCTAATCCGGATCACGCGTGTCCAGAATGAGATCGGGCTCTGGAATGGGATTCGAAACGACGGCCAGGACGAAATGAAGCCCGCGTCCACCATTTTTCCATTCGAATTTCGACGCAAGCTTTGCTGTTTCCCTCGTTCCTTTTTTCGACGTGAAAAACGAGCGCGAATTCGCGATTCGAGACACGAGTATGTAGGTGTATTTATTTTTCGAGGAAGCGTAAATACATTCGGCCATTTTCTTTTTTTGGGTTTTCCCTCGTTCGCCTGCTTAGATATTCGTGGTTTGATCAAACGTCGAAATATTTTTCTTTATTGGATACAGTAATTTTGTCGAGATTTAATCTTTTGAAAGATGACTTTTACTATTTTATTTGATATAATAATTTTGTAATAAATAATTCAAGATTTTTTGTAATAAATAATTCAAGCAGTTTCAAGATTTTAAATTCAGACAGTATTTAGTAAAATAGGAGTAAAATTGTTGAAACAATTCATTGTGGAAAGAGTATCTGATTTTTAAATTAAAAAAATACTGTTTTATTAATTGTAAATGTATATCATTATAATAATATGTATAATACAAGTATACATAACTATGATAATCTTATACCTTTAAAATAGTGCACTATATTTTATATAAAAATAAAAAAGTAACAATTATTATGAATATTATACTAAACAAAATTGACGTTTCACATAATATTTACTAAACAAAAATTATTTACATCCATCATGAAAATTTGCAAAAATTAAAAACAATATGTAAATATTAAAATTTAATAAATATGACAAATTATAATTTATGGACATATTACAGAAAAATTAAAAAATAAAAAAAAAATTACCTACTATAAATATATCAAAATTACAAATATTGTTTTCATGAAAACAAAATGGCGCTTATGCCGTTATATCTATACTTCACGTTTAGCATAATATTGCAAGAACAGCTGAAAATCTTTTATAGCGCATAAAAATCGTATTTTACGTTCTCTGAAATTCTTATAAAATCCCTGCGCGGGAATAATAATAGGAGCTACACATGAATGGTATTCGGAATGGCTCCAAAACAATGAAACTTGAATAGTATTGTTTGCTCCGGACACAACTGCAATCTGTATAAATATGTGTTTTGGATTCCCTTCCCTGCTACTTCCGTCGTTTCTTTTCATGTATCACCGTTCCAATGTAAACGTAACCTTTTACGCTCACCCATAAAAAAAAGAGACACAATCACCGCGAGCAAGTCACGCACACCCTTATAACCTCTTATATTTACATAAAGAAAATACAGGGTGTTACGCGACGCACGATTTTTCACCCACTTGCAGCCATCTGACAAAATGGAGTTTACAACAAAAGTTTCCTGGTGTACGATGTCGAAAGAAATTTCGAGAACGTTTTGTTTTCATAAAGAAAACATTTCCGTATTTAATTAATTTGACAGATTTTTTAATTGTAACAATACTCGTAGTACTTTCTACATTATTTACGTTGAAAACTTTTTAGTATTATTTCTAAAAATACTAATATTAATTGTATTATGTTAATTTACAAATTACTGTATTTACAAATACAGTCCGACATATTGAAATTCGTATTGTCATACGTACTAAATAAACAGAATAAATTATCTGTCAAATCACAACAGGAATAATTACAACGGACAATAATAGAATATCGTGTGTTTCTCGAAACTACGCACAAATGTACTTCGCGTTTACAATCCGATATGTTTTAGTTCTCACATTAATATGCCCTACTTCTCACGCAACTAGACGTCAAATGCAGAAGACGCTGCACATCGTCGTTACGATAATTCTCGACACAAAAAAGTACGTAAACACTATAAAAAAGGTTCACTCACCTTTTAAAACAGCTGCGAGGAGTAGCACGACAAACAGCAGGCACAGTTTTCCGCAATTTCGACGTCCCATCGTGTCCTTAAAGAGGAGAACTCCACAGCGCACAGTCAATTACGGTCGCACGAAATGCCACTTGAGAGTCTATCCGCAGTGCACATTGTTCGATAATCGAAACTGTTCCGATCGCCGCGTATCAACACCGTACCGAAATCACGTCACTATCCCGTCACATTTCTTTCTCCACAATCAAATTTTATGTTAACCGTTAAAAGTTATATAACCGAAACTACAGTATCGAGATTCTGACGCTAATGTCAAACTGTTCGATTATGGATCACGACACTTTTCCAACGGTTTTTGCACCGGCGAAACGTCGCGGTTCGCGTTTACACGAAATTCGAAACGGCGGAACGCGAGTTGGCGCCAAACCGTCATTCGCGCGTTACGAACGTTTTCTGTGCTTGATTTTCGTAACGGTATCGTTTACAATTATTACCGAAGGCAGAGACGATTTCGACCGATCATCGCGCGCTTTTAACACCGTCGAATTTTTAACGACAGATTCGCGAGTTATATTTGTTTGAGTCGTTTGTCAACGGATTGTATGGATCGTAGTTGATAAAGGAATCAACGGAGTTCACTGTTCACACGCGGTGGGTGAGTAATATACCGTTTTTTAATCACTTTAGGTAAAATGTAAATGAAACTAAAGTCAAGGGCACTGTCGTACATCCGTACACACGAAGGTTTCGCGCGACACTGACTCCTCTACTTGCCGCGGTCGGCGCGCTCGCGATCCTAGATGGCGCATGCGTACTGGCACGTTTGATAAACCGAAAGACGCCGGCATTCGGCTTCGCGGCCCGTTTGCAACAAGTTGCTGCGCGTGGTTCTCCGTCTCTAGGAACGTGCAATCATTGAATGCAGTCGACACGTACGCGGACGGCATAATAAAGTGCAATCGACTGCATGCTGCCTTCTTGTCGACGCACAGGTGTAATAAAATTAAAACTCCTGCCTGCCGCGAGTACCACTTTTGGTAACGCTGTCAGACTCCCTACTGCAAAACAATTACACATGTGCCATAGATACGGGAACTTTTATTTCAAATACTTCTCAGAATTATTTTTGTATTGAAGTTATTATTGAAGATTTCTTCAATTATTAAACAATTATTAATTACTAGTTTTTAGGTTTTTTTTAATTAGTGTTTAATTTTTTTTAATTATTAGTATTTTAAAGATTTCTGAATTGGGTTAAAATTCAAGCACTTGAAAACAATCTTTAATATTTTGTATAAGAAGTATTTCAAGCGTAAAATCTGTAAAATAAATCATATCAGCAGCTGATGTCTAAATACATATTTCTTTAATGATTTTATCATTAATTATTTATTTTAATGATTTTACACAACATACGTGGGAGTTAATTTCTCTTTCAAGGAGATTAAGGTATATTAAATTTAAGGAGCTGCTAATGAGTATTGTAATAATTAGACCTCATTATAATTGATTGGATTTATTACACCGTACATACTAAAAAATCTACTGATATTAAAAGATAAATTGTATACTTGACTTTGTTATCTGGATTTAACTGGACTCTCGGTGTTCGTGGTTAACGAACCATCGGAGCTATAATAAACCCTCTGTACAGATCGAAATTAATTCAAAATTATTTATAAACGCTATTAAAATATTATACTCTCATGATTATGGATACGTACTTTAATGGGTGGTCGTTCCTTCCGGTAATTTGATAAACTCGCTGAAACGGATTTAGTACACCTTTTTCTTCTGTAAGAATATGAATTAATTACTGCACTGTAATTATGGAGCATTTTTAAAGAACAATTATCTCAGTCTTCAAAAGGTGTTATACTTACTGATAACCTCTGCTACTATTACTAACTTCAATCGTATCTTTGCTACTATAATTGATGGCAGCTAAGCAACGTTCCTCGTCCAGACAACGATCCTGACATTTACCAAACTTTCCTTTCCAGTACTCTTTGAACCTCTCCAACAACCCTCTACGTCTTGAAGGACATGTATCAGCCTCGCAGTATTCTTTATTCTTGTACAGGACAGCAACACTGAAGGGAAAATGTATTATTATGTATAATCGTTGGTGCCTAACACCCACCATTTTGAGGTTTTCAAAATGGCGTCCTAAATGCTTTGTAAAATGAAAGTTCCATATCTAGCTGTGGTTCAGGAATCAAAGATACATTGCCATTTAACGTATAGGTGGTACGCTATTTTTAAGTTTGCATATTACAATGAAAATATAACAAATAATTTGTTAAGTAACATTATGTAAATTCGAGTAGAAGTTAACTGACAAAATTAATATCACAAAATATTAAATTCACCCAGAACTATCTGAACCCTAAAGAATCTTTCAATACGAATATGCAAACCGAATACAAAGCTAACAATTCCGGGATGCAAAATGGCGCCGTTGTATAAACATTCAGACCGTTAAGATCGAATGCATAAAACCGAATCCAAAGTGTGATCACTTTTATCCTTATTCTGAAGTACACCACCGACGAACAATCTAAAATAATTCAATTTCCTTCTCGCAACATTCTCGTGCGCCCCGAACCACTTCAGAGAGGCAGCAATGGCGGTCGCAGTTCCGCGGGACACTCTGCATACTAATGGGAACTAATTTTCATAAACCAGCATCGAGGGAGCGGAGGAAAACGTACGGAGGATTCTGTGGCTCGATGGGACCACATTCGTCCGAGTGTTTCCTGAGGAATCTGTAGCAGACGAGGCTCAAACCGACCAGCAACCACACCAGCAACGCGCTCACCACGGCAATCGATATTAATTCGGTCGTTCCTAGCGTGACCCCCGAGTCCTCGTCTAAATTCACCGAAGAAATCGACGACGTTAGAAAGCTATCGGATAAGAAGAAAAAAGAAGCTACTAAGGCGGAGGCACCGCTTTCACCTTTGTAGATCGGTGACACGCCTTCTTCTGGTTCCACGGTCGATGGCGTGCCTATTTTGGGCATCATCTGATAGCTTCCGCTTTTTCTCCAGTTCGCGGGACCGGTTCCCACTCCTGACACGGGAAAACGATGGATCAACAGTACGAACTGGGAAAGCACCGATAAAATAAGGACAGAAAAAGCTACCGGACTCCTCCAGCGTGGAGATCACCCGCAGGACGCCGCCAAAACCTGGGTACCATTTGTCGTCGTCAAGGTGCCGTTGCACCTGCAAAAACGTTCAATGCTTGGAAATGGATATTTGTGAGGAAGGACTTATAGTGGTATTCGTTACAGTGGGATTTCGAATACGGTGATTTTTTGGGGGGTTGAACATGGAGTCTTGGGAGCTGGATAGAGGCTTGCTATTTTGGGACTTTGAGACTTTAGAATTTTTGTGTTTACTGTATAGCAATTTTATACAATTTAGAAATCCCAAAGTTTCAAAACTCATAGACTCAAAATTTACACAAAACTGTAAAATGCCAAAATTGCAAAATTCTAAAATTTCGAAGTCCACAAATTTTCAAATAGCACAATTATAAAATTCCGACACTCCAAAGTCCTAAACTTAAAAGATTCCAAAATTGTCAAACGCTAAAGTCACAAAGCCCCGAATTTCCAAGATCCCAAATTTGTTAAATGATCGCAAAATTCTGAAATTCCAAAGTAACAAAATTCCAAAATTTAAAATCTTAGCAATTTGAAATGCCACTTTCGATCATAGCGACTCACAACGTACGGATTGCTGCAGCCAACTGTAAAGTTCTTGATTGAAGGCTTCTACCCCCGTTTTCGATCCTGATTTCGAGACAATGCACTTCACGCTGGCTATGTAATATTTAACCAACACAAAAGCCGATCGTTCGCTGTGCAAAGACATCAAGCTTTCGCTCTTGAATGGCAGCGCAATGCTGGATAAAATTTAATATGTTTCAACATCGTTATTTTTGTTGATGAAAAGAAGTTTTGAAAAATACCTATTTGGTTCGACTTCGTCGTCTAGGAAGGGAAGGGGAATGACAATCGAATCTTCAGCTTTGAGAAAAAAATTTATTATTGTAATAACATTGTTACTATTTAACACTTTTTATTAAAATTTTATTAAATTTGATGACTCACCAGGACTTGAATTTTTATGCAATTTATGCTTCGAAGGGTGTCGCTTCTTCTTCGAGAATGTGAAACGTTGAAGTTCTCGTTTGCTATAATCAGAAGCTAAGGAAAGAATTAAAAGTAAATTTCTTCTTTAACTTAAGAAATTAATATGAACTCTATAAGATACTCTAACTCTAAGAGTAATTATAAAGTAATGTGGAGTATGATTATTGCATGTAATACTGTATATAATACGTAACAATACATATTAATAATACATAAATAATGTGTCATAGTACCCTGTACGAGTAATTATAAGAGCCGTGTAATTGTGCGATAAACCTCACCCTATTCCACTAAATTACACAAAAACTGAATCAATTATACAAGCAACAGCATTGTTCGATCACAATTCCCTTCCTGAATTTCAATCAGATTAAAGTAGCGAAATAAATTTCCCCATATATATATGGCAAGAATCTATTACGGAAGAAGTTCATCTACATTCGTTATTGAAATCGAAGCTCCATGTTTCTACGGTCAACGAACGGTTCCAATTTCTCGGAAAGCGCTGTTAAGGCAATCTCCATCGAACAATCGAAGGTTCATTCGAATATTTTACAATGCTCTTACAGGCAGGATAAGTAATAATCCCCTGGCACGCAACGGACGTTCTCGGCGGCGTGATCACGATCGAGGGAATTTTCCCGTGTCTGATCTCCCTAGATGGCTTCAGCCAACCGGCACCGTTGCTCCTCAGGAAAAGCTTCAGCTGCTCGTGCAGCTCGAACAGCTTCCTCGCGTTCCGATACTTTATGTTGCCCGCGTAATAGGAGTGCTTGGTGTATGGCAGTATGTAAACTTGCAGGTAACCACCCATCGTGTCTGCGAGAGCTTTCAGCATCAGGTGCTTCGTTTTTCCTAGTGACAGCTTGCGTACGCTCTCCAGACAAATGTGAAAGTAATCCATCAGCAGCGCGATGTACCGATCGTTCTCGTAATTTAGAACTTTCACCTGTGGAACCATCGACTAGGGAAAATATGATCAAAAAATTTTTTGCGATTTTTGATGATAGGGATCGGTGAAAATTTATACAGTTTTGTCTTTTATTGGGGATATAGTGATCTAGGGATGTTGTGGTCTAGGAATTTCAAGATCTAGAGATTTTTAGATCTAGGGATATAGTGATCTAGGGATGTCGGGATTTAGGGATGTTGAGATCTAGGGATATAGTGATTTAGGGATGTTGAGATCTAGGGATATAGTGATTTAGGGATGTTGAGATCTAGAAATATAGTGATCTAGGGATGTCGGGATCTAGGGATGTTGACAACTTGGGATGTGGTGATATAAGGATGTTGAGATCTAGGGATATAGTGATTTAGAGATGTTGAGGTCTAGGGATATAATGATCTAGGGATGTCGGTATCTAGGGATATAGTAATTTAGGGATATAGTGATATCAAGATCTAGGGATATAGGAATCTAGAAACTTGGAAATAGAAAAATCTAGGGAACTAGGGACATAGAAATTTAGAGACCTAAAAGTAGAAAAATCTAGGGATCTAGGGATATAGAAATCTAGAAACCTGGAAATAGAAAGGTCTAGGGATCTAGAAACCTTGACATAAAAGGATCTAGGGAATTAAAGTCATAAGGAAATAGGAATCTAGTAATTTAGAAAATTCTTAGACTCTCTTTCACATCTCTCTAAATTCTTCCTAATTATCCTTAAAATATCCCTAAACTCTCACTAAACTTTCTGCATTCTCCCTATATTTCCCTAATCTCTCTCTAGGCCTTTTAAAGTTCTCCCTAAATTCCCTAGCACAATTAGAAACAGCCTAAGCAAGGCAAATTGAAAAAGAATTAAAAATTGAAGTATAAAATCCCAGTTAAGAAATGATTACTGAAAGTTTACCTTCGGTAATAATTCTTGAAACATCCATCGACTGTTCAAAATAATAAAATCCTCTGTAGTCCAACACTGTTTAGCAGCATCACTTTTCTCAAATAATACCGTACCAATATTCTGTTCACGTTTAAAATTGCTAGCAGCCATCACCCTGAGAGCAGCAATCAAATTATTGCAAAATGTAACGAATGTTATTAAAAATTGTGTAATTTAAGGTTAAATAACGTCGATGATATTTTTGATAGGATACCTTTCTATCCTAACGAGAGTCACTGCAAATACCGGAAGAAACCATAGGAAGCATGATTTCATACTCCAATCGGTAAATCCCGATCAGTTTTCCTTTCAGAATCCCGGAAAATTTATATTGATTCTTTGAGTGTTCCCTAATCATCTCGTTGCAACTCTCTATCGTTTGTTACGCGACTGATTTCGCATCTCATAAACCAATCGACAAAAAGATGAATATATCGACTTATGATACAGTAGGTGTTCCAATAACAATAAGAATCGAATTATCGTATCATTTCTTTTTAACTCTTACAATGTTTACATCAAACTTTACATTGTAAAATATCTAACGGAACATTCTCCATACAAAACAGAACTTCTCGTTTTGTAACGCATTCAGAAAAAGTTGAAGTTGTCTGTGTCATGAGAAAAACAATAACATCTTTACAATAATAAAGTGTACTTATTTTACATAATTATTGTGCTACTTCCAGAACATGACAAGGGGTACAGCCGGAAACTTCTGGTGCTAACGATGCTTTTCTATCAATTGTCATCCGCATTATCCTCTCATATCGCCATAGTGAATTCATTTTCAAGTACCAAAGGTAGCTTCGGAATGGAATTACGCGTTCGACGCTTTCATTTTACATAAGAATCGCAAGTGCAACATCTTCACTTCGTCCTTGTTCAGCTTAACCACGCCTTCTTGATTGTCTATGGACAGCAACGTGCCGACGGCCTCTCTGTCCTCTCCGATGATTACCTTGACCCTATCTCCACGCGATGGGACGACTGGTTCCAGTTCTTCGCAAACCAGGTTGACGACCCTGTCCTCCACTGGCAGGAACACGGCACACATGCCACCCTGTTGACAAAATTCAAATACCTGGTATAGAATCAAATACACCCAGATACAACCAGATATTCGACCCACCTGAAGACTTACCTTACGTAACAAAATTTAGTGACATGTACCAACATTCTGAAAAGTACTTACGGATATTCCCCGGATAACACCTTGTTGGCCAGCAAGAGCAGGATCCTGGTGAGAGTCACGTATCCGGACCTCGATATCGGTAGTGTGCCACTCGGTTCCTCCCACGATCCCAGCGCCAACGCCAGTGTCGAGACCTGCACCTGGTGTTTGTGGATTATATGGACTGCCTGCAACTCCTTCACCAAACGTAAGACACATGCGGAGCGCAACTACGGAATGGACACTAGGGACACTTACCAGGAGTCATCGGACTGTAACCCATCGGTGAAGGCGTAGCAAAGGCTCCGTGAGGACTGGTGGTGTATCCGGTACCACTTGGCGAAGGAGTAGCGACGTACCCTGCTGGACTAGGACTCGCGGTAGCGCTACCTGCTGGACTAGGACTCGGTTGATATGAACTAAAACTCTGTTCTGAACCGTACATGGTACCGGGTGTTTGTGGCGTGAATGGTCCACCGGTGGGAGGATAACCTGGCGCGTAACCGGGGGATCCACCTTCTTCCATGCTGTAACCATCGAAGTCGTTTGTTCTTGCGGGGGTGTTTGTGACTGCTGGATCCCAGGCTCCCGACTGTCCTGGTGTGCGGGATCCATCGTGGGATGGCGTCATTGAACCATAATGAGGGGTACGAGAACCATCTGCAACGTTAACAGTTATAGCGAATGTTTTTGAAGGTGTATGCCAAGACTTGTGATCTGAATACTCACTTTCGTACATAGGTGTTTGAGAGCCATGCATAGGTGTTTTGGATCCATCTCTGGCGTACATGGGTGTCTGTCCACCCACGCCGTACGCGGGTGTCCTGTTGTAGCTGCTGAAGCCACCATCCTTCGTTGGCACGCCAACGTTCGCGATGTGAGATCTGTCGACGGAGATGGTCTGACAGGTAGAATGCAATTCTACTCTGGCAGTTGTTTCCGTAGCGTCTTTCACGATTCCAACGTTTCCTTTGTACGGTCCACCTGTTATTTTGATGGTGGTTCCTATCAGTTCCCTGTCGCGTCGAACTCCACCTCCGCGTCCCCTGCCTCTTCCACCACCGCCTCTTCCAAAACCACCACTGCAAGAATAATAATTATTTAATAAACAATAACGGAAACAATATATGAAACTACTAACCCGCTGGGATGCATTGGAGACGTGATTCTTGGTGACATAAATCCTGCCACTGGTGACATGGACGATATATTGGATTTATTTCCACCGGAAAGCTGCAAATGTCTTGTTTTGCAAACGAATATTCCACCGTTGTCAACGAACATTCGCGAGTGCAAGAATGCGAAGCTCCTGTACAAATGTTTGATTTCACCGCCTCTTCCGGCATGAGGTCCATCAACGACCTTGACGATGTCTTTCTTTTGTATAGTATTTTGTTGAGAATCTAACGCTACTGCGTTTCTGTTCTCGCGCCGTTTGGTGAGTCCTTGAGGTCTGGCCTCGATCACCTTCCCGTGCATGGACAGTACGTGGAAATTCTCCCGTTCCAGACGAACAATCACGCCCACTGTTTGCGCGTCTAACTGAACCAAATCGCCCCACTGGAACTGACCTAAACTATCCACACCCGTTGCCATATCGGAACAAAGCTGCAAATCTCTTGGCAGAACTTCAAGCTCGTGCATCGACAAGTCAGAAAATAAAACTACTCGATTTTGTTCTACTCGAACTATTAAGCCGGTGTCGCCTTCGTATCGTCCTGCTACCACCTAAACAATTATTGCATTTGTTTCATACCAGAAGTCTTTTGTTTTGTATGTTCATATTTACCTTAACGTGATCGCCCATTGTGAAATATTTTCGCAACTCTGACGCTTGAAATTCTAACGCCTCTTTCAACTCTTCGTGTTTTGGCATCACCATTATCATGTTTCCGTCTATAGATACAATCTTTCCTTGCAAATTTATCAATTCACCCTCGCACACTTCCACGTTGTCCCCTGTACTGAAGGAATGAGTCACCGCCATGTCTTCTTTGTTACCAGCTCCGCCGGTTCCTGGACCCCCAGTTATGTCTAACTCAACACCCTCAGGAGCCTCTTCAAATCTCTCTAATTCGGATAGGGTTGGTTTTACACCCTCGGCGATGATTGCACTTGTCGTGAAGTTTTTGTACAAAAATCTGAAGTAAAGAATGTATTTGTAACATTTGGCTACTGAGCTGTAAATGAACACCTGATATTCATGTCTGAAATAAACACTCCATATCAAAACATACCCTTTCCTGCTATATCTATTTCCTTCAAAAATCAAGAAATCACCATCGCTAGTAACTTCTCCTCCAATTGCGCGAATCGCTTCCGGGTCAAACGGTTTCGCCGGTGGTCTTCGTTTCTTTTTACGTTTCAAGGCTTCAGACTCACTTTGTGCGGTTCTCAAAGCTCCACGTGGTCTAGTATAGTCAATTCTGGGTAACAATTTTAAGTGAACCTGATTCTGAGCCAAATCAACGTAATCAACCTGAGCTATGTCATCTTTATAAATTCCTCTCTTCAGTCTGACCCACTGTTTTGCTTTCAGACCAGTTTGTTCTTTAACGACGCGCAGAACATCAGTCATTTCTTTAATCGGTACCATTTGTTGCTTCCAGATACCCATCCTCAAATTGCCTACATTTTCTATAGCAGCTTTTACATGTGGCTGTTTGTAGGCCTCTATATAAATGTAGCCCTTTACTCCTTCTGGTGCAACCACAGACTTTATTTGGAGAGGTTCATCTAATAAATAGAATTATAAAATTAGGAAATAAGCTCAAATAAATACGTTCAAAAAACAATGTTCAAAGTAAGTTAACTTGCATACTTGAAAATTGGTACGTTATGAATTTCCTCATTAACAAAAGTACTGTAGCTTTCTCCTCTCCAATACGACATTTAACCATCCACAGATTTGGGTCTTTCACACCTGGCAACAATGTTTGTTGAGTGATTTCGTCACTCATTTCTTCACCACCATCTCCAAAATGTCGACTCGCTACTGACTCATCAGCATACTTCTTTCTCAAGTATTCTTCTATTTCATCTTCTTTCTGCGAGCTGAGAAAGATTAAAGTTGTTAGATGAAGAATGGAAGATCTTAAAATTCCTAGACATAGATATTTACTCCCAAAGGTTGGTGCCTCTACGTCTGCCTTCAATTTCTCTAGCAGTTGGACCCAATTCGTCCACTTCATTTCCAACAATACCAATTTCCTGGGCACCCTCTTCCCATTCATCTTCATCCTCAACTTCGTCATCTACCTCAGCTTCTTCAATAATGAAGTCACGATATTTCTCCTTTTTCTTCCTCTTACGAGGTCTGTCATCGTCTTCCTCCTCTTCTTCCTCATCATATTCGCTACTTCCATCCAAATCTTCTCCTGTGTAAGGAGACATGATGTGTAATTGAAGGAATTCATATATTACATAATTTGGGTAGCCTATATTTTACCATCTGGCTCTTCTTCTGCTTCCACAAGCTCTTCATCTCCTGATCTTGCTTCCTCTGCTTCATCTCCCCTGCCATCCTCAGAGCTAAAGATTTAACAAATTCTAGTAAATTTGAAGTTTTGGAGCTCAAATATTTAAGGCTTAATTACTTTGGGACTTGAGATTGATATTTTGAGACATCTTTATATGATTGTTGATTGATACGTTGGGTGAATAAGTATAGATGTTTAGACCACTACCAATATATATCTATATTTTTGCCTGGCTATAGGTTTGAATTACGCAGATTACTTTGAAAAGACATAGTACTATAAAATGTAATTAAAAGTCACAAGGAACTCTCAAGATAGACCACAAATAATTTTTCCAATCTCAATATGTTAAAATGGGGGTGTATCACTTGAAGACCTGCCTCTCTCAGGTAATAAAAACTCTGCAAGCCCTGTATTCGGTAATACTCGATAATTTCTGCATAAAAATATTATTTACCCAGACCCTGATCTCGAACGTGATCTCGATCTGGATATACTCCTGGATCGCGATCTTGAGGGACTTCTACTGCGAGAAACGCTGCGGGATCTTTCGCCAACGCTGCCAGCATCGCTGCCAGCTGCAGATTTTACCGAACGATTTTCTTCTTGATCACTTTCGCTGCCACCACCACCTCGTTCGCTCTCGTTATCCGAAAGATTGCTCACTTCTGAATCCGACATTTTATAGAAAAATTAAACTTCGTTTTCGTCCATAAAACTGACCCAACAACAAACACAACAGCTTGGTTAAGCCAACGGGGCGCTCGAAGCACGGAATAACCAATGCACCATAGAATGAATTCGTGCAAAAGTTATCTTTGCGCCATCTACTGCACAGATTACAATCCTTACACTATTGCAAGTAATGGTAATACAAAAGTAGGGTTTTGTGCCATGTCGGTATTGCAGCTCGAACATTCATAAAGTGAGCAGTCTATTTCATACTTATATATGTGTAATAGTAATAGTACAATTATAGTAAAGTATGGAGAAAAATGATATTTACGTGCAATATAAATAAAGTTAAATAAGTACATCGATTTAAAGTAGGAAAGTGTTGTAAAAATGTCGGGTGAAATTGATATTTTCGATGATAACGAGGTGCAAATGCCTCAAGATCTTGGGGATGACGTTGTACAAGAAGTTTTGAAGACTGGTACAGATTTACGTCAGTATTCCAGGCAAATTGAAAAAGAATTAAAGGAAGTCGAAAATAAGTCTATACAAGACTATATTAAAGAAAGCGAAAATATAGCTAGTCTTCATAATCAAATTGCTGCATGCGATAACATTTTGGAGGTTAGACTTCAGTCGTAATCAAATTATCATTTGCAATGTAAAGGAACTTTCTTTTTGCAATATGCTTCTTTTTATAGAAAATGGAATCAATGTTGATGAATTTTCAATTAGATCTTGGAAGTATTAGTTCAGAAATACTGTATCTACAGCGTAAGTCTGTAGCAATGAGTCAACAATTATCTAACAGGCAAATAATTAGGGGTCCACTTAGTCAATTTATAGAAGATATGACAGTGTCAGAAGCACTTATAGCGTAAGGATTATATTCACCAAAATATTTCTGAATTAACAATGTGTTTTATTTATGACTCAAATTTTGATATGATTTAATATTTATAGAGGGATAATGGATTGTCCTGTAACTGAAAAAGAGTTTTTAACACAACTGCAAACACTAAATCATAAAATAAATTTTGTAAAGGAACAAAGTTTCAAAGAAGCAAAATCGTGTTTAGATGTAAAAGATATATTGGAGAAATTAAAAATGAAAGCATTAGCAAAGATCAGAACATATCTTTTAGAGCAGATTTATAAGTGTAGGAAACCTATGACCAATTATCAAGTACCACAGAATAATATGTTAAAATATAAATTCTTTTTTGAGTTCATCTTAGCAAATGAAAGAAATGTAGCAGAGGAAATTTGTGGAGAATACATTAGTACAATGAGTAAAATATATTATTCGTATTTCAAATCATATTCTTCAAGATTAATGAAATTACAGGTAATAATAGAGTAATAGTAGATTGTATAGGAAATTAGGTTGAGCTCTGAATATTTTGTAGTTCGAGGAGGGGGCTACAAAAGATGATTTAATGGGAGTTGAAGATAATGTAGGAAGAGGTATTTTCCACAAAACTACATTAAAACACAGGGGCACTGTATTTTCTATAGGTAGCAGAGGTGATGTTTTAAATTCTCAATTGGAAGCACCTATTATTGTACCTCATACTGCATCAAAAACAAGAGTATGTGTATTATTACTTTTAGCAATATGTACTCTTGTTAAATGTTAATAACAAATACTAATTATGTATTTTGTTTTAATAGTATCATTATGAAGCTCTGTTCAGAAGTGAACAGTATGCTTTAGTAGACAATGCTTGTAGAGAATATTTATTTTTAACTGAATTTTTTAAAGTACGTGGTGTTCAAGCAATGGATATTTTTAATCAGGTAAAATAAATCAACTTTATGTGTAGTTTCAATTAAACTGGCAACAATAAATGTGTGTAAATTATGTGTTACAAACAGGTAATGGGGAAGACATTAAATTTGATGGTGAAAAATTTGCAATCATTTGTAGATGATTGCTATGATACAATTGCTTTGTTCCTTTGCTTACATTTAGTAATGCGTTATCAATTAACTTGTCATAAAAGGGCAGTACCAGCTTTGGATAAATATTGGGATAATATGACATCAGTAATTTGGCCTAGGTACTTAGATCTATATAATGTATTCAGTACAACAGGATATAATTGTGTACAACATTATTATTTGTATATTTCAGATTTGAGTATGTTTTCCAATTAAATATTCAAAGTATAAAAGATTGTGACCCATTGAAATTAACTAGAGAAAATGGACCACATTATGTAAGTTTAGGACATTTACCTCAAGGAAGATTCCAGAATAAAAATAATATACAAATTTTACTTATAGATTACAAGAAGATATGCTGAGTTTAGTGCAGCAATGGTCAGTGTTGTTGAGGGATTCCCTTGTGAGGGTGCAACACAGTTATTGGCAGAATTGAGAGAAGCTGTTCAATATTTCTTGTTAAGAATGGCAGCTACCTTCCCTGATAGGACTCAGCAACTAGTGTTCCTTATTAATAACTACGATTTGGTTCTCGGTGTTCTAATGGTAAAAAATCAATTGAATTAATAATAGCACAATATTTTACATTATTAATTGCGAGTAAAAATAATATTCATCAATTTTAATGCGTTTAGGAGAGAACACGAGATAATTCAAAAGAGGCTGAAAGTTTCCGGGATCAACTAAATGCGCGTTCTTCAGAGTACGTTGAAGAAATCTTAAGTCCATACTTCGGTGGTATCATACAATTAGTGAAAGAATCAGAGGCTTTAACCGAGAAAGATCAAACGGATGATTTGAAAAGACAAGAAGGAAAAGCATTAGCGCTCGTACAATCTTTCACAAATAATTGGAAACGAGCATTAGAAGAAATTAATCGTGAAGTACTAAAGTCATTTCCTAGTCTGGTACTGGGAACAGCGTTGTTTCAACGTGCAATGACACAATTGGTGCAATATTACAACAGGCTTCATAAGATTTTACCTCCAAACGCGCGAACTCAGTTGACAAATATTCATCACATAATGCGGGAAATTAAGAAATACAAAACGAATTATTAAAAAAGACAACACTTTTATTATTGTTTACCATATACTATTATAATTAACTTATAAAAATATGTAATTACTTATATGTATATTTCGAATGGAAGTAATGTAGTAATATAATGTATTATATATCATGACAAAATAGTCGTGTATTTTAAAGTATTTATAGAATTTCAACTTATTAATACAACATGGAAAAAATATTTGTCGTGATAACGAATTCAGAGGTAATACTATAAAACAAAAAATAAAGTCTTATACGTGTATTGTTGACTAAATATGTAAGACACCTGACTGCATTATTAAAAAAGGTTTTGTTGTTTATAATAATTTTATTTCTTTCATTTTTATTGTCAAATAGAAATAATATGAATAAATGAATGAATTAGTGCAATATTTGAAACAATATCAAAACACATTACATAGTGAAAAACACTGTACGTTTATTTATAAAATAATACAAACTACAATAATACTAATTATGTATTATCATACTATACAATTAAGTAATAAACTTCTCGCATTTGTGTGGACGCAATACATGAGCAGATAATATACATCTATGTTATATAAATTAGCTTCTTACATTTTCTATACATGTACATATGTACCTTGAACAAGGTTCAATTATCTTTAGGTTGTATAATTGGGCAACATGTATGGCAAATTGTATTCATTTTTCAATTCACAAACATATTTTTGCTGTAGCTGCAGTAATTTTTGTTTCAAAAAATTGAATTTTTAATTGATTTTATACTAAAAGGTACAACTTTTAACAAACATTTATACAACAATTTTTACGCATTTCACATTGTTCTTTTACAGTATGACTTATTAGACATACTAAACGTGAAAATATAATTATCAATTTATTAAAAAATATGCAACAAATATAAAAATAAAGTTGAAATCTTTAAAATCATATACAGAATTTACAACAATATAAATTTCAATTTTTTGCAAACTATTAGAGTAATAATAAGTTTTATAGTTTCACTGTCTATCTTTTAGTATGTTGGGTGTAGTGTCTTAATTTGCTTGTTAATTTTCATTCAGTAAATCTGATGAACAGTGAACTTATACAATTTTCATTTACCATTAGACTGTTCAGTGCCAATGAAGGTATTTAGTCTTTAAATTTTAGAGACTAGGGTTCTCAAAATTTGTACAGCATCAAAATACCATATAGCATCAAGCATACCATATTAACTTGGACCCAATGAATTACAAAAAATACTTTGTTAAGCTGCAACTGACGCATCAACTGAGATGTATAACTTTTGAAAAGATAAAATCTAAAAGTTAATGCGCGTTTATAAGATACCATCAATTGCATGTAAAACTCCATTTGTTGCTGGTATATTATGCATTGTCACATGTGCTTCATTCACTCGTACTCGTCCTGGAATAAAGGTCATATTAATTTTACATTGCAAGTATCAAAAAGATATGTTTAGGATGAACATATGAGATAAGCAGAAAATTGACCACAAGCCTATAGTAAAAATTTGGTTATCTTTAACAAACTTACCGCCATTTTTGTGAATGTGAACAGGTGACTGAGGACGAAGTGTGTCCTTCTGCAAATAGTACCTCATTCCCGCCGTGTACAGCGTCGATGGTATCACATGTTTTAGAATGATCGTTTTCGCAGCTTCAGGACCATCCGATTCTGTCCAAACCGGTGTGCCCTCTTTCGAAGCCGACTCGAAAACGGAATCCGTAGGAGCAAAGACCGTAAATGTTTTTGGCCCTAGAACAATTATTTTCACTAATATTTCTCCTCTAAATCAAATACTATTCTACATTTGTATATGAATTATTGAAACAAATTACTTCAAGAGGAAAAATTGTGAAAAGTGAAAACATTTCTGCACATTACCTGCTAACGTTTCTTGAAGACCAGAGATATAAAGGATCTTTAAGAAGGTGGTAAATCTTTTCTCACGATCTGCATGCAATGTCTGCACCAAGTCACCAACCGGAAGCGGAAACATGACCCTATCTATGGCATGGGCAACTCCTTGAGGGATTTCAATATCGCGTTTGTTTGGTGACACCTTCGCTCCGTTTATGGTAGTTACCTGCTTGTAAACGATGGATCAAGATATCAACGTCTAACTGTAATATTTATTTTCATTTTTTGAGAGGATCTTTTCGGAAATGAAAGTATACCTTTATGTCGTTCCACTCGTGATCGTGCATCTCGTATTCGTTCACTCTTAATTGTGTCCCGGCTAAACTGATTCCTGTCATTTCATCTTGCAGGGAGTCGATCCTGAAGGCTCCTGGTATCACGTGGTGGAGGAGGAGCTGTTGAGTTAGAACAAACTTTACTTTTGATTTGAAATATTGGGGAAGAGAAATATTTATAGTATAGTGTAGAGTTAGTTTGAAGGAAGATTTGAAAATATTTAATTTGAAAATTAAGAATTTACAAGATTTGGATTTAATCTTTGGAATTTTAGAAAATTGTTAGTTTGAAAATTAACTAACAAACATAATGATACAGATCTTGTAAATTATATGTAAATTATAATTTATGTAATAATGTATATTTTTATATCTATTATTACATTGTATATTTATTATATTTAATTTATGAATACTATATGTACATTATATTCTATACATATTTCTATATGTCTCATTACAATTATTTATTAATTTTTATTTTATGCTAGCATATAATAGACACGTTGAATATTACTGTACAGCAATTACAAAAAGTTATTTTACTTTGCAATATTTTTAATAAGTGAGTTAACAATTTTTTAAACATACCCCACTAAGAAGTCTAGGATTATCACGGAATTTTTGTTCTGCTTTTTCTGGTCCACCAAGTTGTACCAGTAATGTCCTGAAAGCTTTATCTGTTGGAACGAATATCGTATAGGGACCTGTAATGATAAATACGATGCTATTAATTTTTTGGTACAATCTTTTTGTTACAAATATAAGCAATATGTTATTGTTAGACTAGCAGAGTTTGTGCAAATATAATGGAGTTGTGCTATATGACATCTATTTATATAGCCATTTGAGGAAATTACTGTTAGGGACATTTGAATCTCAAAATTTTTTATTTTTAAATCTAGAAATTTCAAGATTCCAAAATTTCAAGGTTTCAAAATACCAAGGTTCCAAAATTCTAAAGTTCCAAAGTTCCAAAATTCTAAAATTTCAAGATTCCAAAATTCCAAGGTTTCAAAATTCCAAGTTTCTAAAATTTCAAAATTCCAAAATTTCAAGATTCCAAAATTCCAAGTTTCCAAAATATCAAAACCACAAAAATCCAAAATTGTTAAATCTGAGAAGCCCAAAACCCCAAAGTCAAAATCTCAAAATTTCGAAGTCCTAAAATTCCAAAATTCAAAAGTCCCAAAATCCCACAAAAATATCAAAATACCAAAATCTTATAATCCCAAAATTCCAGCTTCAAAACAATTAACCCTCTCTCAGACCCGTCTCCAACAATTCCGCTCGCACTATCCGTAGCGAAAGGGTTAAGAAACGAAAACACCCAGTGTCTGGTTCATTGTGGTCACGAGAGCGAACTCATCTTTCACAACCGAGACGATAATTACCATCCGGTCGTGCTCGACGCCACGGAACCCCGTTACACCCGTTTGCCTTTTAATCGAAGGAAGTGCACGATTTTTGCGTTCAGCTAACGTGCCAATAATTAGGACTCTTCGGTTGCACGATTTCCTCTGACACGTTTTTCGAACAATGTCTGTTTCTGCTTCGAGAGAAAAAGAGACTGGATATCATTGAAGTGTTTAAGCGTTGCACAACTTACTCATGCAATTTCATGTCCTCGGTATTGAATGGGGGCAAAAAATAAGTGTTCGAAGATTAACTAACGATAATTGGACAAATTCGATGATTTTACGTGGAAGACATTTGCATTTATTTGTACATTATTCAAATTTTCGAAATTCTAGTTTTCGTGTTACAAAAGTGTATAAAAAAATTATTATAGTAAATTATGTACTTGGTGCTTTTTATCGAGTATTTAAATACGTATAAGTTCATGACGCACCAGGTGTGTCATATATTATATAGCTATTATAGACATGACGCACCAGGTGCGTCATTTATTGTAGCTATTACAGAGATGACGTGCTAGGTGTGTCATGTATTAGATTGCTATTACAGAGATGACGCACCAGGTGTGTCATGTATTAGATAACTATTACAGAGATGACGCACCAGGTGTGTCATGTATTATATAGCTATTGCAGAGATGACGCATTATGTGTGTCATGTATTACATAGCTATTACAGAGATGACGCACCAGGTGTGTCATGTATTACATAGCTATTACAGAGATGACGCACCGGGTGTGTCATATATTACATAGCTATTATAGACATGATGCACCAAGTGCATCCTGAGAAATAAACGTAATAGAAAATCAGAAAACTATTAAAGCACTAATTGTACGATACTAATAAAATAGAAAAGAGTTTAATTGAAGTCGACATTGATTCTAAATCAGATACAATTAGAAAAATGGAGTCCTGGAGTCTTAATGTAATTAAAAAAAGATTCGAGTTAAAGGGTAACGTGAAACGACCTCGATCCCAATTATACGGAATGCGACGTCCTTTTGGAATGATAAATTAATGTGGGTCAATTAAGGTAATATTATAAGACGCAATTAAGGTTGTAGCTGTAATCGAAAACACTTCTTCAAGAAGAAACGGTCATCATTGCTGTTCTACTACTGTACCGAGGAATAGCTGTGTTGAAACTTGCGGCAATCCGTGAGAACATTTTTCTAACGAATATTGCATGACTAAAACCGACTGGTGGAAAAGAAACGAGCGGTTGTATAAACAATAAAGCTTTATTCTCGTGGCAATAAGTCAATCAAGCAAGTGTATCAGGTGTCTCGGGTATTGTTTCTCGAAAATTTGTTCGCGTAATTCTTTGGTCTTGTTTAAGTGGGGTTTGATTATTATGCAGGGAGATTTGAATATTGTGGGTTTGATATTTTACTTTATTTTTGTGGTTGGGTATGTAGTTCGAATTTAATAAATTCAAGATATTAGGAATTCAAGAATTCAGTGCAATAGGAATTCAAGAATGCAGGAATTTAGAAATTCAAGAATTCGGAAATTCAGGAATTCAATACAATAGAAATTAAGAATTTACGAATTCAGGAATTTAACAATACAGGAATTCAAGACCTCAAGAATGCAGGAATTCAATATAATAGGAATTCAAGTCTTGAAGAATTCAATGCATTAGGAAATCGAAACTTCATGAATTCAATACATTAGGAATTCATAAATTCAAGAATGAAGAAATTCAAGAATTCAGGGATTGAGAAATTCAAGAACTCAAGAATGTAAGAATTCAGGAATTAATGAATGTAGGAACTCAAGACTTCAAGAATTCGCTAATTCAGAAATTCAATACAGTAGGAATTCAGGAATTCAAGAATGCAGAAATTCAAGAATTTAGGAATTGAGAAATTCAAGAACTCAAGAATGTAAGAGTTCTGGAATTAATGAATGTAGGAATTCAAGACTTCAAGAATACACTAATTCAGGAATTCAATACAGTAGGAATTCAAGAATTCAAGAACTCAATAATTTGTGCATTTAATAATTTCAAATCAATGAATTCATAAACTAAAAAATGTTCAAATCTAAAAACTCGAGAACTCAGAAATTCAATAAGCATTAAATATTTAAAATCCTCAAATTTCCAAATTTGTAATCTTGCACAACAAATCAAAAAATCTCTAAACCTACAAATTAACAGATTCCTAAACTAGAAATTTATCAGTTCAAAATAAATCCACATCCTCATTCTTCCAACATCCTCCTTTCCCTATTACCATCAGAAAACCGCACCGTACTCCCATTCTCCAAAGATTCCGCCGACCTAATGTTCACGTAACATCTTATCCCCAGCGTCACCCAACAAAACCAGGCCGTATACAAAATTAATTTACAAACGCTTACCAGTTTCGTTAAGGACGTTGTCTAGACCGGACTGTCTTAAGTATTTAGCCATCGCAAAAAGTCCTTCTCTCCTCAGCAGCGTAGCTAAACTCTCGAGGACCTGACTCTTCGTGGCCGGCAGCTCTGTCTGCGGTGAAAGGGTTGTCTTCTCGAAGCTTTCTTGGTAAACGATATTGTCGTTATGTAAGGTGGTCGATGGTCTCGCTATAGTTGGAATTGGCCTGGGTGTCGTCGAAGTTTCACTATATGGCTGTATCGTGTGGTGAGCGTAGGAATTGCTCGAATGATGAGAGAAAGTGGTCGGAATCAGCGAAGAAGTCGTCGTGATGATTTCGTTGACCGGAGCCATGGTTGGTATGAAATGACTTCTCGTTATGGTCGGATATTTTCCTGTCACTCGGTCCTGATCGTCCGGGGTCGATTTCGAGCTGGTGTTTATCGTCCCGAAAGAATTGAACACGTGGCTGGCTACGCTCGACGCCGACGAAAGATATTTGTCTGTCGTGGACACCAAATTTGGAGAGATCGTGACGTGGTGCGGATATTCCGTTGGTTTACTGTGGAAATATGGTTGTTATGAGCATTTTGCAACGCGGCGTTTTGCGGCAGTTATAAGAGAGGTCTACGACGGTTTTCTAGGAAATGTCCTAACAAGCTAGTGTGGGCCAAGTGTTGGGACTTGGGTGGCACGTTTGGATACACATCGAGGGACACTGATTTTAGTATACGTTGACAGTCGTATCTGTGCATTTGAAGGTTCTTGGCTGTATTATATTTATTTACTAGGATAGTAGTTTAAATTCTAAGGAGAAATCATTTGTCAAAATCACCAAATTTGCTAAAGTTCTCAAATTCACTAAATTTTATGAAGTTCTCGAATTTCATAAAGTTGCTACCTTCTTGAAATTCTTCAAATTTTCTGGGTCCTCCTAATTGTACAATTCCCCAAATTCTAAATCCATAAGAAAGAATCTTAAATCTTAAATTTTTCAAGTTTTCAATTTTTCAATTTTACAAGTTTTTAATTCTTCAATTTTCAATTACTTAATTCTACTAATTCTCAAATCCTCAATTCCCTAAATCATAATAATTCCCCAAATCCCAATTCCCCAGAACCTAATTCCCCAGATCCCAATTCCCCAAATCCCAATTCCCCAAATCCCAATTCCCCAAATCCCAATTCCCCAGATCCCAATTTCTCAAATTCTAATTCCCCAAATCCCAATTCCCCAGATCCCGATTCCCCAGATCCCCAAATCCCCGAATCCCAATTCCCCAAATCTCTAAATCTCCAAATTCCAATACCCCAAATCCCAATTCCCCAAATCCCAAATCCCCAAATCCCAACTCCCCAAATCCCAACTCCCCAAATCCCAATTCCCCAAATCCCAATTCCCCAGATCCCAATTTCTCAAATTCTAATTCCCCAAATCCCAATTCCCCAAATCCCAATTCCCCAGATCCCAATTTCTCAAATTCTAATTCCCCAAATCCCAATTCCCCAAATCCCAATTCCCCAGATCCCAATTTCTCAAATTCTAATTCCCCAAATCCCAATTCCCCAAATCCCAATTCCCCAGATCCCAATTCCCCAAATCCCAATTCCCCAAATCCCAATTCCCCAAATCTCTGTATCCCCAAATTCCAATTCTCCCAACTCCCCAAATCTCTAAAACCCCAAATCCTAATCTCCCAATCCTATCTATCCTCCAAATTCTCAAACCTCCTAAGCCCAAGTTCCTCCAAAAACCTCCGCCATACTTACACATCGCTATACCTCGACGATACCGAAGTAGATTTCACAGTGGTCGGCCTAAAGACAGGAGATCCTCCACTCGAGGACGTAGCCGTCACAGACTGCCTAATACTAGAGCTGCTCTGAATCGAAGCCGACGTCGTAGGATTCGAAGAACTAGGCGGTAGCTTCAATTCACCTTTCTTGATCCTCTCCACGATAGAGTCCACATCGCCTTCTTTATCCGCGTTACCTTTCACACCTTGAACTTTATAACTCCCGTCGGGTTGCTCCTCCAAAACCACGAAGGTCACCTTCTTAGCCGGCAGACTCTGAATGGGAGCTTTCCCGATTTCTTCTAACTTCCCATCGCTTTTCTGTCTGATCACCTCGAAGTCGGCTCCAGGAGGCAGGACACCTTTCGTCAATTCTTCGAGTATAGCCTTAGGCGGTTTAACGGTGGAAGCCGGAGTAGTTAGAGCCAAAGTAGACGCCGTCACTGTGGAACCAGTAGGTAAAATGGACGTCAGACCATTCGAAGTGTCTATCAACTGTATCTTTTTGCCATTCGGAAGAACTATGTCTCTCGTGCTGACGTTCCTCAAATCATCGTCTACGGACTCTGCCAGAGCCAGCTTCAGCTGCTTGAGTAATGCATCCCTGTCCACACCCAAGGAAGATCTACCTTTGGGACTTGAAGGTCTGCTGGTAGCCGGCTTCTCCGTTTGGTACACGATCTTGATCTGGGGCTTGGACTTGCCCTGACGAGCGAACTGGCTCAGTATACTATCTGACAACTCGGAGGACACCTTGTCCTGGTAAGTTCTAGTGGTTGTCGTCGGCTTGCTGGTTGTCGTCGTGGACGGGATAGGTGTCGTGGTGTACTTCTGCTGGTGAGTGGCTATGGCTTTCAGGAACAGCTCTGTTTCCGTCGGGGTAATCTTCCGTGCCGTCGACAGCGACACCAGAAGAGGCGACAAGGTCGTGTTGAAGGTCACCGAGCTGGCCGACGTGACAGGAATAGGCAACGGCGTTGTGGACGTCAGCTTCGCAAGTTGCTGAAGTCTCAGCAGCTCCTGCTGCCTCCGCACCTCCTGCTGCTCCAGCAATAGCTGCTCTCTCTGTTTCTTCAGAAGCTCCAACTCTCGCTGTTTCTCCAGATATTCCTGCAACTGCGCCGTCTGCTGGTCGCTGAACAGAGGCTGCGACAGGTCTTGCTGAAGACCTTGATAGCGACTATTGCTAACCGGGAACTGGCTGCTGAATTGTTGCTTGGGGACTTCGGGTTGCAACTGTGTCTGCACGTTTCTTAAGTAGTTCGTGTTACCCAGCTGCTGAGCTACCTTCTGTTGTTGTTGCTGAATCAGTTGCTGCAGATGCTTTTGTTGTTCGAGCAGTTGCTGGATCTGTTGCTGCTTTGAGCGGTCTACTTTGTATTTGGAGAGAGATGAGTAGGAGGCTCCGAGTTGATCTTGAGTTAGAAAACTGGATGTTTGAAGGTTTTGGTGGTCTTGTTGGGGTCGACGGTAACGGTGCTGGTGTTGCTGCACGTCGCTGAGGATCTGAGCTTGCTGGGAAGCCGAGAGACGCGGTCGTGGATCGAGAGGTGCTCGATTCTGGAAAAGAATTAAATTATTTTTGTTGTGATTATATTCACATGTGCAAAAGGTATTAATATTAAAGATACAAAGTTATATTACACCCTAGAAAGATATAATACACTTTTAAATTACATATGTAGTGTTTTAATAATGAATTCTATTTTCACAAATGAATAGACGTTAATGCATGTTAGTTTGTACATTAATTCCTCAGCTACATGAAAAATAACGTATATTTCAAGAAAACCAGCTTAGTATTAATAAATTCGATGATTAAGAATCGTAAAACATAATTATTTGATCGGCCATTTTGTAATTTTAAGGGTTAACGGGGATAAGGATAATGAGTTTCTACATTAAGCGCATGCGCAGTCGGCAATGGTGCGTAGTACACATGCGCAGTCGATAACGTGAGTAACAAACATGCGCAGTAGTTAACGAAACTAATGCATAAACCTGCGCAGTAGAAATTATTGCAATAAATTGTAGAATACATTGTAATAGAGTCATCTAACTTCACTGTACATAATTATTATTTACTATTGATTACTGCACAATTGTTTTATATTCGAAGTAATTCTCAAAAAGTATTTTGAACTAATTTGAAACACATGATTTATGTTATACGATTTTTATTTGTTTGCTTGACTTAAAATATATTTATCTATCAAGTTTTATATACTTGTTGTTATACATCTAATTACAAATTTATAAATATAATATTTTATGCATTTCTGATTTTAATTAATTTGTATTTTGTATTTTTTTTTTTTTGTAAAAAGGAGTAGCAAATAATGTAATTTTAAGCTTGAAATTATTGGACGAATTATTACACAAAGGCGCTGCGAAATGAAAACCACGAGGTACACTTTCCCGAAACTAACAATAAAGAGATTGTCTCACAGTCTGACTATATAAACCAGCGAGGGAGATGGAAATGAAGAAGAGAGCGAAAACAATGCTACGGTTAATTATCGCGATCTTAATTACGTTCGGATGTTCTTTCGCGAGAAAGAAAGAACTCTTCTTATTAAGCTTTTTGAGTCTGACCAAAGAAATTTTCTTGTAATTCTTATTCAACGGACCAGTGCATGGCTTATTTCTTGTTATTGGTTGTTTAGTAATTTATGAAAGTATTAGATGGTCAGTTTGGAAACTGGACAATTTACAAATTTGTAATTCTGTAAATTTTATAAGCTTCCCAATTTGTAAGCTTGTTTAGAAAGCTATAAAAATAAGTATTTTTAAATACAAAATTATAGAGATTTTGCAACTTTCAGTTTTGTAATTTATATATTAAAAAGTTTTGCCATTTTCAAATTTAGGTAGACAAAAGTATTAAAATTTTGAAATATTCAAGTTAATAAATTTTGTAATTAATAAATTCCTAAATTTCTATATACCTGTATTAACAAATTATCGATTCTATAAATTTGAAAATTGAAAAATCATAAAATCTCTAAGTTATCAAATTAAAAAATTTGTCCATTCAAAAATGATGAAATCCCCAAGCTAATATTTCCCAAATTTCCTCATTCCCAAATAATCAAGTCCCTCTATTTTCCCATCAAAAATTATAAAATCACTAAATTATCAAATCCTTCAATTTCTCCATCCCAAAATCATAAAATACCCAAATTTCTTCTTCCCTAAATAAGCAAATCCCTACATTCCCCTATCCAAAGATCATCCCCAATTTACCAAGTCCCTAAATTTTTTAATTCAAAAATCATAAAATACCCAGTTCACCAAGTCCCTAAATTTCTTAATCCAGAAATCATAAAATTCCCAATTTACCAAATCCCTAAATTTCTTAATCTAAAAATCATAAAATCTCTCAGATTTTCTTCCCTAAATTTCCTCGTCCAAAAACCATAAAATCCCCAAGTTATCCTTAAATTCCTCCATCCCAAATTCCCACCCTTCACCATCATCAAAATTCTCCACTACAAAAATCCCCAAAAAACCCCTAAAAATCCGTGAAAGCACTACCTTCTCTCCTCATCATCGTATTTCCCCTAGAACGACTAGATTTCTTCTCGACACCATACATTTCAACGCTGCGATACTCCTTCCCATTTCGATAACAAAACCTGCCTCCCAATCTTATCAACCACCACACCAAATGTCAATGTAAACGGGTGTCAATGAAATCAGTGAAATTTCCACTCGTGCCGTTTCATAAGAAATCCGCAACTTGTTATTAAACACGAATGTTAACTATCTGTTGCATTCTTTGACGTAACGAGGCCACGTAGAACGAGCGCAGTCCAATCTACCCGCAGATCACTAGCCGCTAGTTTCCCACAACCAACGTAAAAAAAACACGAATCTGGGCGTGGTTTCCTATCTCTAGAATAGGAAATGATCTGCACGTTCAGTGATCTATGCGTAACGGCTATTTACAGTCTAGATTATATACAGATTCCATAAACACGCGATCGTGATTCGATTCGTTGAACAGAGAATGGGAGGTCGTAAAACTTGTGTTGCATGATTAATATTTGTTGAATGCGAGGCTTTTAGGATGACTCGATCTGCATTTCGTTTATTTGTTTGTGCAATGATATAGGACGCAATTTGGGGGAGTTTTTACTTGAAATTTAGAGAGTAAGATGAAATAAGGAAGGTTAGGAAGGTAAGATGGACTCTAAAGTCTGTTGCAAGATGGCGGCGCCTTGATGATGGGTTCTGACGTCATCGACGTCGATCGAATCGACCCTAAATTTTGAAGTCTTCGAAATTTTACAATTGCAAAGTTTCAAATTTATATGAATCCAAAGTCTTCAAATTGCAGAATTATGAAAGTCTAAAATTATAAAATTAGCAAACTCTCAAAATTTCAATATTCAAGAATTGTAATATTCCAAAATACCAATATTCAAGAACTGTAATATTCACAAATTATATTCAAGAATTATAATATTACAAAGTTCAAAAATTCCAAAAATCCTCTAATTGAAAAGTTCCAAAATTCTCTGAGTTCTAAAGTCTTCAAATTACAAAACTAAAACCTTGAAGTTCCAAAATTCCAAAAATCCTAAATTTGAAAATCTTCAAAATCCTACAAATCCAAAGTTCCAAAATTCTCTTAGTTTCAAATTCTCCAAATTACAAAACTAAAGTCTTCAAGTCCTAAAATTCCAAAAAATTGTCCAGTCGTGAAATTACAAAAATTTCTTCAGAGTAACCCGACCTAACCTATATTTAACTTAACCTAAAATAACCTAACCTAACAACCATACATTGTCACCCAACCGAAAAATTAATTTGAACAAATGGATCAACAGTACGCGATGAAATTACGTTCTACACTATTGAGGTTAGGGAAACCGTGGCAAAATAACAGGAATGAAACGAAGGTGAAAGATGAATCTATTCAACGTGATATAACACAATGTAAATTTACATCTGGTTGAAAGGAAAATAGTAATTGAGTCTGAAAAATGCTTGCACCTCACGCATTTACTTCTGGTATAAAAAAACTTACAATTACTTTTCCTTTCATTTTCTTGTTAATATTAAATATTTATAAAACTATTCTTGGTAGGCTTAGAGTACTTGAATAATTAGAAAATAATTGTACTTGTTATATAAATAACTTCATTATAAATTTAAATAAAAACGAAAACGAGATTAAAAATGTGGAAATCCCAGTGTACACCTTGTACCTTAATTTTGAACAATTTTGTATATTTTTATGAAAATTGTTACAATATTAATGAGAAGAAAATAGAACATGTTAAAAGCTTCTTTAAAAGAGTAAATGTATGTACATAATTAATGTGTATTCTTATATTTTTAATACTTTGTTACAATAATATTTTTGATACAATGAAAGAGGTTATGTTTAGTAGAAAAAGATGTACATACTCAATGATCAATTGCTGATGACAAAATTATTATAGTAAGTACTTACAGTAATTAATTTAACACGTGTTATGCTGTGTGTTTAATTTGACATTGAGATGTCTGAAAAATGGCGGATGATTCTACTGGTAGGAGAAAATATATGCAAATTAAATCTAATAACAATTTTTCTATTTATTAAGCAAGTAATTAAACACACATATATACATGTGTACATAATTAAAACAAAGGAATATTTAATTTATAGTATATGATATTCGTAATAGATTTTTATATGACATTTATTTAATATATTTATTTTTGTATAACATAATTATAATTTTGTATCAATGATAATTTAAAAAAAAAAAAAATCTTGTATCATTTTTTTAAATATTGTATACACACCTGAATATGGATTCTAAAAATTGTAATGAAAGATAAGAAGAAAGTTGAATGATTTAATGTGATAGACTTAGCGTAACAACGTAAATATGCATAATATGCAGTGTAAATAAGTCAATGTAAATTTTATGCAATGAGCACATACATTACGATAAATGAAATGCGAAATATTTTACACTTTATAACGCGATAATAGAACACAATTGTTATGGCTTACATAAGATTTCGTTTTTAGCAGGCTTTCTTTAGCATCAGTAATCGTCACGTACTAAAGTGATAATCTGTCGTTACGTAAAATAATAAGAACCAATTTGTTACGTATGAGGTAATTTTACTTCGATTTGCCAACGTACCGCATCGTATATTTGTAATGTTAAACTAATTTTATTTTAAACTACTCGAAAAACTAAAGTAAATTTACCACAAATTTTTTTCGTTAGAAATTCACAAAATAGGGTTATAAAATTATGATCATAGCAGTCGAGGCTCATATAAAATCAATCAATTTATCAATCAAAAGATTGCTGAGTAGAAAATATGGTAAATTGATACTTTGGTAATCTAAAAACTAAAAAGATAGAAGATTTTTAAATTACGTTATTAGATAAATTTTTATTTTACTAATTTTGGAATTGGACAATTTGGAAAATTAGAAAATTGAAATTTGGAAAGTGGTGAAATGAAAACATTAAATCATAGAATTGAAGAATTGAAGAATTGAAGAATTGAAGAATTGAAGAATTGAAGAATTGAAGAGTTGA